TCCAGGCGGTCATCGCCGATGTGGAGCGGCACGCTCGGGAGAATTACGCGGCCATCCAAGCGCAGCACAACCGAGCCATCATCTTGACATTCCTCGTCAAAGACATGGAAGTGTACACGCGCGAAGTGCAGATGTTCGCGGACGAGATGCAGCGGCGCTTCGTTCTCCCTCCACCGTCGGACGCTCTCTCGCCCCCCCCCCTCCCGGCTTTCCCAAACATCGCGGCGTATCTCCGGTCGGGAGGGCTGATTAATTCTGCTGTGCAAGGCAAGTCCGGCCGTTCGTCGGCCGCCGCAGCGGGCGCCGGGGGACGCAGCGAGGCCAAGGAGCAGGGGGTGTGCTACAAGTTCCAGAAATGACGGTAAATGTCGGTGGGGGAAGAAGTGCAAGTTCGCGCATGTGGCGCCACGGAAGGCCGGCGGAAAGGGAGGAAAAAGAGGGGGCGCGACTGGCGGCGGCGCCGAGGGTGGCGACTCGAAAGGTAGCCCCTCCACCGCCGCCGACACCAACGCCTCTGCCGCCGCCGCCCCAGCGAAGCGGGCCAAGGTGGGAACGGCCGGGACGAAGACTCGCAGCCAGTGCGAAGGGCGGTGCCGGCGGCGGCGCGAAGGACGATGATGACGAATAGGGGCGCGGGCCCTGCCCCTCGGGGGGGGGAGGGCCGTCTTTCGATGTGGCGGGGGGCGTGGTCTCGGGGCCCGAGCACGTACCTCCTGCGACCAGGGGCGGCTACGGCGTTGGCCCGAGGTGGGGTTGGTACTTTAGATGGCAATGATGTTAGGCGTATTGTTTCCATGGTACATGCTATGTCTCAAACCGTCGCGCAAGGCACACCACGTGCAACCGTACTTGCTCAGATCGCGGTGAAGTGTTTTCGGTTTTTGTCTCGGCATGGGGGAAGCTTTGAATGCATGCAAGCCATCGAAAACGGCATCGGGGTGCCGCGGGTACGGCCTGAATTTATTCGGTTTTGGTTTGGACGCTTGAAAGGTTTTCCTCACACAGAGACTGTCGCTGCTATTGTGGAACGTGGCGCCGTAGTGCCCGTGTGTGGGTCTGCCGAAATCGCAGCAGCGCTATCGTATGGTAACCACCGTAGTGTAGCCCCACATTCTGACACTATTCTTGGGAAAGTGTTTGATGACGTGCGGTTCGGGCGGGCGTTCGTGTTTCCAAAGAAAGAGGCCGAATCGATCCCGGGGTTGCGGCTGTCGCCGCTAGGTGTGGTCGTGTCACCTGAGAAAATTCGGATTATCCATGACTTGACGTATGAATGCTCAACCGTGTCACGTAGTGTCAATGCCGACACGGATTCGGAGGCGGCGCCGAAGGTCGAGTTAGGTCACGTGTTGCGGGACATTGTGTGGCGCATTTTATGGTTGCGGAGGACGTACGGACCATCGGTCCGGATTGTGCTAAGCAAAATTGACGTTACGGACGCGTTTCGACAGGTTGCGGTTCAATGGTCGGGAGCTCCCGTGTTTGGTTACTCAGTTGGGGACTTTGTCGTGGTAGATCGGCGCTTGGTGTTTGGGTGGCGCAATTCGCCTGGCAATTTTTGTGTCATGACCGCCGCGTTGGAGCACTCTCACAATCACACGTCTGTGGATAATGCAGTTGTCACTGAGCTTGGCCGGGCGGCTACGAACCATGTTGAGGTTCCGTTACCTAGCGAACGGGAGACGCCACCCCCATTCCCCCCTGGGTGTCGCATCCCCCCCGGTTTGGGGGGCGGTCGTTCCGACTCGTTTTTCGTGCGGTTCTATGTAGACGATGGTATTCTTGTGGAAGTGATGTGGAGCCCGACTGGGGCCCGGTGTAAAGTAGCTTCCGCGTCGTGTGCATCGGACCATTTCCGGGTGTTTGGGGCGCGCGGGTCAAAAGACCCCCCCTTGTTGTCTCCGCGTAAACTTTCCTCGTGGCAAACAAGGTTGTGTGTGCTCGGGTGGGACATTGATACGGTGGCTATGACCATTTCGGTTCCCACAGACAAGCTGGAACGTCTGCGGGCGACAATCCGCGAGTGGCCCCCCACACGCTGCTTTGCTTCTGAGTCCGAGTTGCGGGGGGTGATTGGTTCGTTGTTGCATATCTGTGAGGTCGTGCGGCCGGGTAAATGTTTTGTTCGCCGCATGCTCAACCAGTTGGGGCTACCGCCGGTGCAATTGACCGCCCGGGGGGTGGCACGGAAACGGATCGGTCCCGAGTTTCATGCCGACATGCGGTTTTGGGGTCTTATGGTCGAAGGGGGCCTGGGATCGCCGTCGCGGTTGTTAACAGCCCCACTGGTATGTTTTTTCGATCAACCATATTCGTGTCTTTTGTGGTCGGACGCATCTGGCGATGCGATGGGAGGGTATTTCTTGCATACCGAATTCCGTTCTGGCGTGTGGTGGCGTTTTGAATTTAGTCAAGAAGTACGGGAGAGGTTTCGCCAGCAGGCCGAGGGGCGCGACGATCTGAGCATCAACATGCTCGAACTCCTCGCGATGGTAGTTGGCGCCTGGGTGTTCATTGTACAATCGGACATGAGGCCAGAGTACGCCCGCAATAGCATCCGTATGATGGGAGACAACTCTTCGAGTGTGGCGTGGGTGAACAAGTGTCGGGGGGGGAGCGAGCCCCGATCGGGGGCACTCATGCGTATGCTAGGATGTTTGGAGATGGGCAGCGGATGGTGTTTTGAGGCGGCTCATGTTCGAGGGGTCGATAACACGATTGCAGATGGTATTTAACGATGGGAGCCGGCGACCATTGACGCTCGTCTTCGCCTGTCCCGTCCCAATGTCGCCTGGCGCCAACAGGTCTTGAGCCAGGAGGTCGCCGATCTTTGTACCGGCGTCTTAGCGGCGAGTATGTCCGCGAGTCAGTTGCGCAGTCGTCTCGACGAACTTACCTGTCGGGTTGGCGGGCTTGGTGTGCTTTTCGCCGCATGATTGGCGCGTCGGAGTACCTCTCGGGGGATGTGGACAGTGCTGGGCTGGAACAAGCCCTTTTGGAGCTTGTGGCGTGGTGTTGTGCAGATAAGGGTAACATTGCACCGACCATATCCGGCAAGCTCGCCGCGGTACAGTACTTTCATCGAGTTCACAAGCAGCTTGAGTTGCCTACCGGTGCGCCTCTTATCAAACGGAGTTTGTTGGGTGTCGCACGTGTTCACGTTCGAGCGGGTACGAAGAGTCAGAGTTGTGTTCCCGTCTCGTGGGAGACGCTGTTGGAAGGACAGCAGTTGACGGCGTCGTGGGGTACAGGTGGCCGCGTGTTGTGGCTGTGTTTGGCGTTGTCGTACTTCCTGGTGGCGCGTTCAGATGAGGTTTTTGCCACACTGTCGGGACAATGCCACCAGGTGCATTGTTTGCGGCGTAGCGACGTCGCATTCTTTCATGGGGAGTACGTGCTCGCCCCGTTGCACTGGCACAAGGCCACAGGAGTTCGGGTTCGGTTTCGCGGCCACAAGGGGGATCAGTCGGAGACGGGGGCGTGCGTTACACGGGTGCGCGATGTAGCACGAGGCGCGAGTTCTCAGATTGGAGCCGGTGGCGGTGCCGTGGCGGTGTTGGTGGAATTGATGGCGTGCCATCTCGCTTTACCTGAGGACGCCCCTCTGTGCTCGTTTCGCTGTAGGAGGAGCAATACGGTTAAGGTTTGGGGATAATTCCAAAGCTCTTAGCGCCCTTCGCCAGATTGTGGAGAAGGCAGGCGGCGACCCGAGACAGGTCGGCTTGCATTCGTTGAGAATTGGGGCCGCCACTACGTTGGCAGCAGGAGGAGACGTACCGGACAGAATTATACAGAGAGAGGGTAGATGGAAGGAAGGTTCGGGTACGTTTAAAATATATACTAGGAATAATATGGTGGACGTAGACATGGTATCCCGTAAACTAGCGAAGGGGAAGAAGACGGAGCAGAAGAAGGGTTAGCATACACGAAGGTACGGGCAAGGGGACAGAATGCCATCCCACTAAAACGTCGATGTTGGTGGATGTCAATGGTATGTATGGAGTATCATTGGGGGTCTCGGTGTACTGAGACGGCATTTTGTTAGGGCCTGCCAGTTGACATGGAAGGGGAACTTGGACTCTGGAGGAGAGAGGGAAGCGACCGGTGTCGTCCCCTCGTTATTGGCCAGAGAGTTACCTTCCAGACTTCGTGGAAAATAATAATAAAAATGACACTTGGGAAAAATACAATAAAGTGCTTTTTTTTTTTTTTTTTGGTTTTCACGTCAAATCAGCGCTCGCAGCACTAGTGCCATTTACTCCTACCCGTGGTCACACAGAAGAGCCCCTCTCTACCCTCTCCTCCTGCGGTACTTTGCCTTCGATTTTCATTGCGAGAAGAGTTCAGCACTCTCTTCCTTCTGTGTACACACGAACTAGCTAGGCCAGAGGCGGAAGCGAGAGAAAAACTCACTTTTGCAAGAAAAGCTCGCTTACGCCGGGATTCGAACCCCTGACCTGACGTGCATGTGTTGGCTCGGGTGGCCAGTTTTGTGTTGTGTTGGTTTGTGTCGTCTTGTGTTGCTCTGTTTGTTTGTTTGTTGTCTGTCGCTACGGCGTGTGTCTTTCTTTGTCTGTATCTTTCTCCTTCGCTTTCCCTTCTCTCCATCTGCTCTCTTATTCTTATTTTTCTTTTTCTTTTTCTTTCTTTTTCCAATCTAGGGTTACCTCGCACAACGTGTAGAGGCGAGCGGAGTGGCCTAGGCTATCTGTCGTTGACTTTTATTGGCTTGCGGACCCTTCGGGTCCATTTTATTTTCGTATACCTGTTTTGGGTAAGTTAGCCTGTGACCACGGGAATCGACCCCGTCAAGTGTTAGAATAGTACGACCAGAACAAGGTACTGGGCAGAGAAAACGGAAGGTTTTTTTAATGTGAAGACAACAACAACAAAATACAATCTGGAGCGAAATCGGAGCGTATCTCGTGTAGTTATTTACCGAACCGCATCTCCTCGTGTCTTCTCTGGGCTTGTACATTTGTTCGCGGTGGTCCGGGGATACATTTGGAAATTTCGTAGTATGCTGTCGGCGCCTCCAAAGCAAAGCAAAGTACGCAAAGTGGTCGACGCTCAGCTCACCCACATCCATACAAGAGAAAAGCAGTATTTTGCAGCCAGCAGAAAGAACATGTATGTAAATATCTCCTGTGATTCTTCGTATCGCACGCATGTATGCATGCGTCTCTTGATCGGAAAACAACAGTCCAGACTCTACACCATTTGTCGCGGACAACATTTACAGACCAAAAGTGAGCAGTCTCTCCGTCGAAGAACACTATTCTCCGCCTGCAGTCTGGGGAGCATGCTACGTGGTACATCCGTGCGCCCCTTATTTCCATCACGACGCCCCCTCTTCGAGCTTCTCCAAGTTTCGAATGGCCTCGTCCAGCACACTGCGGAGACGACCACATGAAGACAAACCACATGCATGGACGGTACGGGGACGTGGTGACGGGGGGAGAGAGGGGGGTTGCGTTACCATCCATATGGCCCTGAGAGCAAGACGTACCGTAACTTTCGCACAAAAGCACGGGACAAGTACACGTGGCTTCGCCGTCGAATTCACCGCCAATGCACAATGCGCGAACCAAGCGCCATGAGGTTTGTGTTCGGCGAGCTACATGCATGCGCGGCTGGTAGCACACCTCAACAACTACGTAAGCGCACCGCAATGAAGCTACCATGCTTCTATGAAATAAGTTGATGAGACATTGCGAATTAATTCTAATTCTTAAATTCTTGGCGCTCAGGAGGAAGATAGCATTGAGAGGCCGGGCTGGGATGGTGTGCCGGCTTTTCTGTGTGACACGTCATTGTAAGTGACTATCTCATTTGTGTATCCCACAAAGGGGTGCAAGGGTCTGCCTCCCTCACTACTCAGGAACGTTTGGAGCTTGCCATAAACCGTTTCGGCTACTTGCGGATGGCCACGTCCCTCTCTCTCTCTCTCTCTCTCTCTCTCTCTCTCTCTCTCTCTTCTCTGCCTCTTCGCTTCTAAAATACGTCTTCAATTTTTTTGCTCGGGTACAGGCGTTGATGACACACGCACATGGACAAGGTACACCTGGAGAAACGACACAAAAAAACATATGCACAACCGCCACAACCTACCCAACCACCCGCAAAGAACAGGTAGAATTCTCGACGAGGAAAAAACATGTTGAAATCCCCCGCCACACGACGACCAGGAAGATCCGGACTTGCTGCCTTGACTCACCTAGCCTTTTCTCTCCTGAACGCCAACGCCAATCGCTCGCGCACGGTCCTCCCGGCGTCGCCGGCCGTACCCTGCGCGTCGGGCCGCACGTGGGACAGTTCCGCTTCGCACACGGTGCGAAGCGCCTGGAAACAGCAAGAAAACATATCGCACACAAACGACAGAGAGAGGGACGAAGTGATTGGATGCGGGTAAACAAATACTGTGATTTCGCGCGAAACTGACGGTATCCGTATGTGTGCACGTGCTACTACAATCAAAGTCATTCCTGGGAGAACAGCAAAACTTGCACCGTTGCACAAAGCATGCAGTATGTTTTTCATGTGCTGTAGCTGGAACCGTTTCGTACATTCGAGAATCAGTAGCGCAGGTATGTTGTTACGGCATATTTCCAGGTAAAGGTTACTCAGCGGTACGAAGTAGAAGAACGATGGTTGGGAACCATCCAGAGCATGGTATTCTGAGCGACGAAACATATGTGGTACCAGTACATTGTACCAGTATTTAGTCGTTTCGTAGAAGCCTTACCGTCCACACGGTGCTATCCCCTCCTCCCGCCCCCTCCTCCGCGCCAAGTAAAGCACGCAGATCTTCAAGCGTCTCCGCATTCACAACCTCGGCTCCTGTCATCATCAATCATGCGTTGTCGTGCAGCGGGGCGGAGCAACCGTTGGCGCCGGCGGCGGAAAACGCACCACGAGAAGTGCAGCAGAAGAATAGTGGTACTTGTGTGCGGGGAAGGGGGGGGTCACGGTCAACATTGACATCTTCGTCGCGGAATATATCCAGATACACGGATGCTTGGCTGCACGCATGCCAGTATGTAGCAACCAGCGGGAGAGAGGCTGAGCTTCGGCCGGACAGAAAAGGGAGGTTGACCCCGCTCGCTTAGAGAACAACCCCCCCGCAACACCAACAACAATTACAATTGCACCTCGCTTCCCTGGCAAGCGTTGCCTCTGGTGCGCCGAAAGGGCAGAGCTCGGAGCGGACCGCCAGGGAGAGAGGAAGACACGGTCGTTCGTTCGGCCACTCGCCGTCGAATCTTTGCCCTACCTATCCCCGCTCATTCGCAAGCGTACACCGTACAACCCTCGCGAGCGGTGGTGTCTGGCTCCGGGTGCGTCCCCAGATGCCGTGCAAGGTGCTACCCCGAAGTGATTGTAAGCGTTTTTGAAGCTCAACGTGCGCGCGTGTTGTTGTTGCTGTTGATGATTCTCAAGGTAGGTCGTTGCCAAAACCTCGCACGTGGTCGCACAAGGTGCGCAACGAGATGGCGCGCCGTGAAATTTCGCGGTACAGGGTACGCACATGAACCCCGCCGCCTCCCTCCTCGGCCCCCCACGCCCGAGCGAGGTACTTCTTTTGGAGCTCACACGCTCATCACCACCGGTACGCGTTGATGTTTACCACGCCGTTAGAAAAATAAATGCTCACCTCTTCGGATGACGACTTCTTTCGTGGGTGCGCCACCCTTAGCACCAGGCACGCCCAGGCTTTTAGCGACGTCGTCCTTCGAGGATAGAGAACACAAGAGAAGGAAGGGGGGAAAATTCCGCTAAGTTTCTAGCCGCGACAAATGGGTGCCCGCCCACCTACCAAAATTCCATCCACGCCCCCCAAGCCCAGCCCCCGAAAAACGACCACAAACCACACACAGCACACACACACACACACACACAGGCGCGGCTGCAACCTCACCAACACGAAGGTGTCCGCCGGACAATCTGCCTCCACGAAGCCGTAGAACTGGAGTAACTCGTCGTTGCTCTTCAGCCCGTAAGAAATGTACGCTTGTTCCCCCTCGCGGTAGCCTCTAAGTACGCCATGTCACAGCAGTGCCGAGGCATACATAAGAGGAAGGAGGAAAGAGGCAAGGGGGGTCGGGCGGATGGGAAGGAGCGTCACGGGAGCGCGTAAAGCAGGTGGTCAGCGGCGGTCGGCCTAACGTGCCCGATGAGGGTACAAATAATGAGACCATGTGAGGGTACAGATAACTAAACCATGTGAGCGTACAACAAATGCGGCCTGGGTTTGCGAAAGTCGAAGGTCAGTTGAAGACTCTGGTCCGGTTAGCTTTCCGAGCGAGGGCAGGACACAGCAAACCAGGAGGGGGAAGGATATGGGCTTCCTCCGAGCAAGCATATGTGGTTGGTTAGCATTGTATCCCCCGGCTGAACACAAACTCCGCGAATTTGTCACGTCATTGGCTAGGTGGCTTCGTCATGACGTCATGCCTGTCCTTGTCCTCCACAAACGTTCCAACACGTGCCCCAAGAACACCGCGCAGAGGCTTTTCTCTCCCCCCCCCCCCGGTGTTTCCCCCCTGTTCGCAAAATTTGAATAGGTTGGCGTCGAGTGGCACCGACGCTGTAAAACAAGCCACCAGCCCCTAGACATGAAATAATTGCACTAACC